GTACCATTTAATACCGCGACATCGTTACACCAATTATAATTACCAAATTTAGTATAATGGTAAAATTTTTTGTGTAATGATAAACCCAATTTGGTGTATATAATTTGTGTAACCATGTCGTGATACTAAATAATGTAACTCGTTAATTTATGTAAATAGCTGAATCACAAATTGGGTGGGTGTTACAATTTCGTATAATTATTTAGTGTAACTGTTTGATTTATTATAATACATGAGTAACTGTTTGATGTATTACAGGGTAATTATAATTAATTGATATAATTGTATTGTTATAACNACAAACATCTATAAAAGTACGTAATAATTTTTTTAGTTATAAAATAATCCACAAATTATAAAATCACACATTAAAATAATAAATTTTAAAGATACAATATCAAATTTTATTTATCGGTACCATAGACAAGTCCACGAGAGTAAAGTCAAAGTCATCATAATTCTTATACGTAAGATTGAATAAACAAAGGATAATATTTGATAATTACAATCATTAATTTTATTATGAGTCTTAGTATTTATTATGATTCACTATCTATTTAATAATTTTTATTATTAAGTACTCATTTTAATTTTAAGTCCAAAGTTCTTTATTGACAACATTACCATCACTCACCTCTCATCAGATTCATCCAAAAATATTATTTTATGCCTCCTCACATGGAGTAGGTGTTCCTAATCCAACATAAAAATATTATTTTATTCTCTCTTTGTTTGGTAGGAAATTTTTTTTTTTTTTTTTTTTATGTGTGAAAAAATAGACAAGTGGAAGACAGTATCAGTGTGTAAAACAAACTATAAGAGCAATATAAGGGCTGGAGATGCTCCAATAAATTTTTATTTATTTTATTTTTAATTTTGTAGCATAAATTTTGATAAGTTAAAAAAAATTAATTCATCCCATTTCCCATTATTTATGTATATATTTTTTGCCAAATATTTTTATCTATTCATTCAACTTCATATTTTTATAACTTTTTATCCTTTGGAACTAAATAAAAAAAATATTTATTACAATAGTGATATCACGTTAGAATTGTCACATGATATTACTAATTAATAACATGTAAATAAATAAGAAAATATATCTCACACAAATTAATAACTCTCTCTTAGAGCAACTTCAACTCAATTCTCTATTTTAACTACTCAAAATATATTTAAACATTACATTATCTATTTTAGAGAGTCACTTTTTACAAGTTCACTCCAATTATTCTCTGTGTGTGTATATATGTATATATATATATATATATATATATATATATATATATTACATGGATGAACGATTATTTAATTTTGTAAGACTTATTTATTTGTTTACTTATTAATGAACAGTTATACCACGTAACAAAATACTATATAAATTTAAAAAGTAAATTTAAATATTATACTTGATTGTACTACTGATAGTATTTAACTTAAAAAAATCAAAGAAAATTTTGATGGGTAGGTTAGGGTTTATATAATATGAAAGATGGGTGAATTTAGGGTTTTAAAAAATGCAAGAAGATAGAAGAAGAAAAGGGAAAAAAAAAATACAATCTATAGGCCTTCAAATGATTTGAAAAAGTTTCGATGGTGGTCGGCGATAGAAACAGTGTAGTAAAGAGAGACAGAGAACAAGTCGTCGAAGAAGTCTTTTAATTTTGGATAGGATAAAAAGTTACCATTAGAAATTTGGTATAGAATTTGAGTTTACTATAATTTGGGTTCAAAATAAATTTTGTCTTAATTTGGTATAGGTTTGAGTCTATTGTTGGAGAATTGTTTTGAGCCATTTTGACTCAAATTTAAATTTGAGTCAAAGTTGGAGATACTTTTATGTAAAATTCACTAACCCACATGTTATCTTATATGAGTTTTTTGGCCGTGGGTACAATTTTTTAAACTTCTTTGAGAAAAAATATATAGATAAGTTGTTTATTTTATTAAGTTCAATTTTAATAAAACATATTGTGTTTAGGTACAAAATTCAAATGAAATTAATTTTTTTTTTTACCTAAATACACTCCCTTAAATTATGTATTTTTGATTGACAATTATATATCTAATTAAATATGTAAAGATTTTCACTAGACCCTCTCGCTATCTCTCCCCCTATTTTCTCTTAATCTCTCTCTCTTTCCCTGTTACTTTCCTCATCTCTCCCCAATTTTCTCTCTCTATCTATCATTGATAATTTTTTTTTCAACTATGTAAAGATTTGATTTATTTTTTCATCTCTCTCCTATTTTCTTTCTCTCTCTCCCTATTTTTTTATCTCTTTGTATTTATATCAACATTAAAACAACACAATTACACTAAATCAGTTAGACCAATCAATCACAATTGTCTTATAATACACCAAACAGTTGTTCATGTGTTATAATAAAATCAAACAATTACTAAAAATTATGACACCAATCCAATCTGTCATTCTGTTGTTTATATAAATTAAATAGTTGCACCATTTAATACCGCGACATCGTTACACCAATTATAATTACCAAATTTAGTATAATGGTAAAATTTTTTGTGTAATGATAAACTCAATTTGGTGTATATAATTGGTGTAACCATGTCGTGATACTAAATAGTGTAACTCGTTAATTTATGTAAATAGCTGAATGACAAATTTGGTGGGTGTTACAATTTCGTATAATTATTTAGTGTAACTGTTTGATTTATTATAATACATGAGTAACTGTTTGGTGTATTACAGGATAATTATAATTAATTGATGTAATTGTATTGTTATAATGTTGATATAACGATAGAGAGAGAAAGGGAGAGAATAAGGAAATAATGGGAGAAGGAGTGAGGGAGAGAAAAAATAGGGGAGAGAAAGAAAAAAAAATTAAATTAAATTTATACATATTTAAAAATAAATAAATTATAAATGTGTGTGTGTGAGAGGGAGAGAGAGAGAGAGAGAGAGAAATAGATAGGGGATAGGGGCGTGGCTCCTCTGCTGTTGGAGGAAAACAGCACAATGTGCTGTTAGGATAAATGACACCGTTTTAATAAGATTTTTCTTTCCAAAAATTTTCCACCGCAAAATATGCCTGTGAAACTCTCATTTCCACACTCTCTCTCTTTCTCTCATGTTCTACAGACCCACAAGCTGCACTTAAAAGTAAACCCTCTCTCTCCACCCAAGTAACCTTTCTTTTCTACACTGTCCTATCGCCTCTTTCCTCATTATTCTCTCATTTTCCGAGTCCAAACAAGCCCAAGCAATTTACCCAATCATCGCAAGCAAGCATGAATTAATCTGAAGTGCAAATATGTGAAAATATTGGATCTTGAGATAGGGGGTTTTACAATTCCAAAAAAAAAAAGAGCGGGAATTCTAGAGAAAATGAGCACCTGTAAAAATTTTAGACTCACTTGTTTACAGAATCTTCGTATTTCATTTGGTGGGATAAATGGAATATTATCACCTCATGAAACAGCCGTAAGGCATGGGTTTAAATGGACCTATTTGAAAAAATTCCTTGAAATTGTCGAAGTTGAGAGCTTGACAGCCATTAGAGGAGCTCATGGACAGAAAACTATAGTTTCTAGAAGATTAATTTATTTGTGTATGTATAATTGCACATGCGTTTATAGGTGTTTGCGATAGAGAAGAATAAAGAACCCTTGTTTCGCATAAGGGAGAGTTATAATCACTGTTAAAAATTTTAGGAGTTTTAGGAGAGAGTTTGTATAAGAGAGAGGGACAGTGCAAATGTAGGTACAGAGGATGTGTATGGGAGAGTTTCATGGTGGAAAAATTTTGAAAAAGAAAAATCTAATTAAAACGGTGTCGTTTATCCTAACACTACACTATTCTGTTTTCCTCCAACAGCAGAGAAGCCACGCCCTACGGAAGAGAGAGTGAGAGAGTAATAGAGAGAGAAGGGGGGAGGGAGTAATAAAATAATAAATGGTCTTTCGGTCTTTTTTTTTAAAAAAATACACTTAAGTCCAAATAAATTTCTTTTATGTAGTTTAATTTAAATAAATCTAAATTTTTGTATCGACTTACAAATTACTCATCTTATTATTGGACAATTAAATCCATTATTTTTTTCCTAAAGAAGAGTGGTTTTTCGATGTGTCTCATGGCCTGAAACAGTTCAAGAATGCCATGAAAAGACTCCGCACAATGATGATATCACGTAATAATGTTGATGTAATATTATCCATCTACAAGAGAAAGGGAGAGAAAGTGCTAATACTTAACATTAGCGAGGCAACGTTATCAATGATCAATCTTGGATAAGACAAAATGTATCAATTATCAATTTGGATTCTAATGCTCCGTTTGGTAGGGAGGATGAAAAGTAATAGGGATACACTTTCTATCCTTCAATAATGAAAAATATGAATGATATATTTTCCTACCTTTGTATTTGGTTGGATGTATGAAAAATAAACATGACTATATATTTTTTTTTGTGCTGGCATAAATTAGGGATGATAATTGAGTTGTGTTGTGTTAGATTCATGTTGAGTCATTACGTGTTTATGTCGAATATTAGTCAAACCTAACTTAACTCATTTAACTAATTATGTCGTATCGAGTTACGTGTTAACCTGTTTATTTTTCTATCGAGTTTGAGTCATGTCATCGTGTTGAGTCAAAAATTTTCAATCTTAGTTAAGATGGAAAAAATAATTTTTTTTTTAATTTAATTTTTTTTTAATATTTTTTAATATATATATACATACACATTTTATTATTGTATTTTTATATGAAATTATTATATACATAATATATGTACATATAAAAAAATATATAGACAAATAAAATACATTTCAATAAAAATAATTAATTTTTCATCCACTTTTCCTCCGATTTTGGTGAGTTGAAAAAAAAGTTAATCCATCCACTTTTTTATCCTTACCAAACATGATGTTTTATTTATCCCTCCAACTTTCCTTCCTTCCACTTTTCCATCGTAACAAACGAAACATAAATTAACAATCACAACACAAATTTCGAATACATATAATAGTGATCGAAAAACTAAATGGAATGGAATACTATCAATTACATAGCACGTCCGTTTAACAAGACTCAAATATAATTTTAACATTTCGATTAATCCTTACTTTTATTTACTTACCCCCCAAAAAAAAAAAAAATTCCCTACTTTCTTGGGTATCTCACTCACTTCAGAATATACATACAAAAATTACTAACGATATGTACAAAGTTCACAGCCCTACAAGTTTCAAGTCCAATCAGCCATGACCCAAAGCCCACAAATCCAAGTCATTGAGCCTAAGTTGCTTTTTCTTGGCACCCGAAAATTCCATGTGGGCCAGCCTTCTCAATCCTAGAAGGGTCCAGAACATGGAACAAATTGGTGTACACGTGTCCATTAACCATCATCCACTTATCTTTTATGTATCTTTCGATCATAATCTATTTGTCTTAACGGCTCAGATTTCAAATCCCAACCATCCGACTGTACTTGATCCTGTCTTTGCCTACCACCATCCCTTTCACTCCTCCTCACGCGCTTCGCACCAATGGATACCCCAAACAATCTTGGGTTCGTCTCCATCTCCATCTCCGCCTCCACGCCACCACTATTCATGGAGGCTCCGCCGTCTACCTCCACCAGCCTCGCCGGCAACAAACCCAAATCCCTATCTTCCGGTAATGTACTAGTTTCCGATTGATTCACAGTGTAATTCGATATCATATTGTACACATTGCAGCACAAGATACGCAATCGATTCAATTCTTGACTCAATTGCGCGTTCTCTTTTCTTAATCTTTCATTCTCTTCTAAAAGCTCCGGCGTGGTGATACACGACGTACTACCGAGGGCCAAGGCTGTCGCCGTAGCAGCCGGCGACGAGTTCGACGACAAAACTTGCTCATCGCCTGAATTTGTTGGCGACAGCGATCTCAACCGCGGTGCAACAGCCATAGTCACTGCTTGTGCCATTGCTGCCGCAGCCGGTGCCGCAACCGCAGATATTTTTCGGCGTTGAATGTCTCTCAGAAGTCTTTTCTGGCCTCTTCGAAAGCAGTCGTTCGCGAATTCCCACCGATCAGGTACAACTTTTCTAAATCCCTAGAAAATTGAAAGTAAAAACGAAAACAAAGAAATCAAAACCACATTTTTCAAAGCATATTGATTTAAAAAATACTTTCTATAGGGAGAAATTTTGTGCTTGGTGAAAGAGGTTCTTTCTTACGTAAGTGTTGAGTTGGCGAACGAAGCTGGAGAAGTTGTTGTGTTTGAAGTATTTGGGAAGCAAATCTCTGGCGAACTCAGCTGATCGCCAAACGATGAAGGTCGTTCCGTCTTCGTTCCACGAAATCAAGTCGTCCATGGATGGATCGTCCACAAGTTGATAGGTTTTCGTCAAAAAAGGCGTCGGTAGAGATCTTTGTGACTCTCCGGCTGTTGATTCACCGGTCTGTTCAACCGTTAACGACGCCATATAGATCCAAACTTCTAAAAAAGCAAAAAAGATAGAACTTTTAGGGGTTCATTCATCTATTTAACAAGTTTAATAGAAAAGATAACGATTCAAACCTTTGTTTGATGTGTGTAGGATAATAAAATAGATAGAAATACAACTTTGGCAAAAATCTGTTTGGTTGTTAAGAAAGTGGAGGAATAAAAGATTGGGAGTAGAAACGGCCGGAAACCTAGAGACTCGAAAGTGACAACAGATTGAACAAACAGGACGACGATGGTGATGGGATCTGTGTTTGGTATCCGAGAAATGTTTTGAAAAAATATATACAGAAAAAAAGAACTTGGCTAGGTGAAGAGAGAGCTTTTAGATTGAGGGTAACATTTTCCTTTATTTTTTCTAAGCAATCAAACATGAAAACAAAAGGAAATGGTGTAGATAACAACGAATCTAAAAACATTCTCTTTACCAGATATGCAAACCAGGCAGGTTCAGTGACAGATCGAACCAAACACCATTGAAGCAGCACCATCAAACAAAGCATCCATCTAACGCATCGAACTTGAGAGAGAGAGAGAGAGAGAGAGAGAGAGGAGATTAGTGTTGGTTCTGGAA